GGTTCACATATGCAGAAAACGTAATACTTCAAGTCGAAGGATAGTTACACCCGTGGTCGCGCTAAAGATGCTTAGAGCATGAACTAAAAGTTCAAGCAACATCTTTAGGATGGGTCAGTCCGGCATCCTATTATCTCTAGATAATATCTGCCCATGTGCGGATGCGAACACACCGTCATTGACTATGAGACTAAGTCAAACATCCAACACACACTAGTCTTACATGCATTAACGATATCCCACTCTCGTTAATACTCGACTATGGACATTTAGATAAATATTTATTTCAAGATGTTAGTCTCATCAGCAGAAAAACACTATCTGATAAACATCTTTTAAATATAAATCTAGGAATATAATATTTGTTTACATTAGCATGAGATGTGTAAACATATTATATCTGCCTATACATGATAGAATAACGATAAACAGTTGGCCATCAGGGCACAACTCCAACATCATCTTGTCTCCTCTCTGGTTCGGCCAAGGCAGCAGCCCAGGGAAGGTCTCTGGCGAAGCTCTGGTGGGTGCACGGTTGAGGGAGAAGGAGGAGAAGAAGAGCTAGGCCGTTCGTGCGAAGCATAGTCATCGTTCCTCGTCATCTTCGTAGTTCCAACGCATCATTTAGAGGTGAGTAGTTGTCCCCTCTAATTCTAGAAAATTTAGTTATAATCTATGTCGTTATATTCATAGGAATATCGTACGCAACCTACGTAGAATCTATGCATGTTCGCATGTTAGCTATCAAAACGTTCACTACGTAAAACTTATATATATTGGCCTAGGAATCGCTAGGAATATATTCACCAATGTTTGTATTATTGTTCTGGAAAGAATCAAGGTGTTAAGTTTTCAAAATGGAACAAAACGTAGCCAAAGACAGAAGACTGTGTTCGGGACGGTCGACCATCGCTTCGGACGGTGGACCGTACCCTCGGCCATCCCGACGGTCACCACCGTGACGGTCGACCGCCGGCCGCGACGGATGACCAAGGTGGACCGTCTGTGACCCAGACCCATACCGTAGCCCACGGTCGACCGCCGGTGGGGTACGGTCGACCATTCCTCGGGTAGATTTTCGGGCAGTTTGTAGAACGAGCCCCGTTGACCATATTGACCCAAAATCTGATAGTATGTTGCATGAAATGTTAAACTTCATTATGTATGTTATTTAATTGATATATTCTTGGCGTTGACCAAAGGTAAATATATCAAGCATTCATCATGTTCATCCTAGACGCATGTCTTAGGTTTATCATCATGTGCATACCGCTGTAGGGAGGTCAGGCTTTCGTGCGCCTACTACAGTGGGCCCGTCCAGGAACCTTTTGGATCCAACGAGTTTTCATCAGGTGGGCTTGTGTACATACATGGTAGTCAGGTTACGGCTACCACCCGGTTTTGCTAGTCCACTTGCGACATTTTCGTCGAGCCCGGCTCATTACCGTTTTGGTATGATAACCGGAGGCAGGGGTGATCCTGTCAAGTGAGACTAAGCCAGGGGTGTCCCTGATAGTTTCAGTCATGCATCAAGTCATATCATCATCATGTATGTTCCTCATCACGTCCACATTCAATGTGGTAGCACATCATTTTGTTATATGTAATAGTACCCGAGCAGGTGCAAACTAAGCAGTTAGTAAACATGTGGTTTTCCGTACGTTAAGTACAGGTATTAATATATGTATAACCAAATGGGTTATCACTTTATGTTCTTTTGTTAGATTCACTCCTCAGCTTTTGCCGAGCATGTAGTTGTTTTTGCTACACGCAGATAGACATGACAGTACAGGTGCTAACCCTGGAAGACAAAGATCATGGGAAGATGGGCGGTGCACGGACGAGTTTTAATATTTATTTATTTAATTATTTATTCACTTGGGCATGAACCCACCATATGTCGTTTTACTTACTTTGGACTGGACTTATTTATTTACTTCCGCTTTACTCTGCATTTATAACACACACGAATGATCAAATGGGCTCAGCCCGAAGCCCGACGGCCTCAGCCCGGATGATCAAATGGGCCGTTTTCTTGAGCCAAAATAAGATTGAGTTTAAGCCACGCCCACCGATTAAGGGGCAGGCGCTAGCTGATTTCTAGAAGGAGTGCATAACAAGGGAGCAGACGAGGCGCTTGGAGTTGACCACGGACAATGGGAAAGGATGGTGGTTGATGTGCATAGATGGTTCTTCAGGATCCTGGTCATGTGGTGCCGGGATTGTATTGGCCACCCCAGAAGCCTTTAGAATCTATTATGCCATCCGCTTCGGGTTCCAGGTGTCCAACAATGAAGCTAAATATGAAGGATTGATTAACGGGTTACGGGTAGCCTGAAAACTTAGAGGAACAAATGTAACACCCCACCCTGGATGACCCGAGTCATCCAGACCAGAGTGCTAGTAAAACCGGGTTACTTGTAAAATATTTTTCTTCAAAAAAAAATATATTCTCTTTTTGATAACTAAAGGGAATTTAAAAAAAAACGTTTACTGCGTAAATTTAAAGTAAAACATCCACAGTTAATACAACCTTGGGTTCAAGCCCAAAAACAAAGTAAAATTTAGTTCTTCGTTTTATTCCCTATTAAATATTAAATAAAAACTCCTTTGGCACGGCCTCCACGTCTAAGCTATCCTCCTCAGCAGTCGTTCCCCTTGCTAGTACCTGCGTGCAGTAAAAAAACTACACGCTCAGCAAAGCTGAGTGGCAAATAACCAATAAACATATATAACATGTAAATATATTTTAGGGCATTTTAAGTTATTTATGTTTTACGAGCTTTTTACATAATTAAAATTATTGAGTAAGTAATCTCACTTTGAAAAGTTACTTGGGGACGTTTAGAAAATACTTGACTTACTAGGTTAACCACAGATTAGAGACTAAGTCGTGACTAGGCNAAATAAAAACTCCTTTGGCACGGCCTCCACGTCTAAGCTATCCTCCTCAGCAGTCGTTCCCCTTGCTAGTACCTGCGTGCAGTAAAAAAACTACACGCTCAGCAAAGCTGAGTGGCAAATAACCAATAAACATATATAACATGTAAATATATTTTAGGGCATTTTAAGTTATTTATGTTTTACGAGCTTTTTACATAATTAAAATTATTGAGTAAGTAATCTCACTTTGAAAAGTTACTTGGGGACGTTTAGAAAATACTTGACTTACTAGGTTAACCACAGATTAGAGACTAAGTCGTGACTAGGCTGGAACACCACACTTGTCGATACGTAGTTTTACTTCGGATACCTCCCCGTGACCTCGGGTCCGGTCATCAGAAGTGAACCCTAGACCCACGGGGTCATCGTCGGGTTCTCGTGCGCACGTTGTGGTATGATTGTTTATAGGCTCATCCACATGGACATGGTCCGGCCTTATAACATGTGGTTTGACCCACTTGATGAAACGTGACAATACCTGGTCAGGGTACGTCGTTAAAAGAAGTTTAACGTTTTTACTTCGTCCACTAACTGTTTGGTTAACGGTAATATGGTCATTTAGATAAATTACTTCGGATATCTTCAAAAATATAACTTGATCCTCTCAAAATTATATATGGAATAATGTCCCCTTTCATTTTCTAAAACATTATGCAACTTGATCAGTTAGACACTCAAAGCGTAAAAACAATTTACAACTCTATTCATTAATCAAACATATACCAATATTTTTAAGAAGACAAACATACCAATTTTTTTATACTTATTGTCACTTACGACATGGAACAAAAACAATTTAAATGGAATCGACAAAAGTTTATCATGACAAATAGAGTTACATGTTTTTTTTTGTTTATAAGCCAAACTGTTTTTTTAAACCTTCGACCAGACTGTGGTTTGATCAATCATAACCATTGATTATGATTAATCATTATAAAACCTTCGGCCCTTACTATTTAAAAACAAAACTTTTGTTTTTTTTAGAGAAACAAATGGTTTTTTTTATTTAAACCTACTGTCGAAGGAAAAGTCATCCTACTAATCATTTTTTTATTATCAAATTTTTTTTTAACCTTCGGTAAAAAACTTTTTTTTATAGAAAGAATAATAGTGGTACCAATAATAATAATGCTAACAATAATAATTAAAAAGATAATAACAATGATAATAAAGAATAAAACCTCTGCCGATTGTATAACCACCATACTAATCAACTTTCTTTTTATTATCACTTCTTTTTCCTTAACATTCGGTTATATATTTTTTATATATAGAGAATATAATGATGGTACTAATACTAATAATAAATATAATAAAAATGATAAAAAATAAAAACTCCATTTATGCCATTACCGAAAGTGTGCAATTGTATAATTACTTTTTTTTTGGAAGCCAAGTGAAATTTATGTTTGACATGTATATTTTTATTATTATTATAATGACTAGTATCCTCCTCTTTTAATTGATTATCTCAAAGAGTAAATTCATGTTAATAAAAATAAAAGGGAATGCACGAAAATATATTAACATGAAATATATATCTAAAGGTTAAGGTCAACGGCACACCTTCGATGTTGTTAACGGAAAGGTAGATGAACAGAACTTCGGAAGGCCTCGCTTTCACGCTTCGTTGTCCTCCCAACACTCTCTAGATCAAGTGCCCTAAAGTGGTCACCCTAGGCCTCTATTTATAGGTAGAATAGGGTATGTGGATGGTTTTTTTAAAAAAAAAAAAAATTTAAACATAAAGTCTCTCTTAAATGAGAGATGCAATGAATGGGTTGGGGAGGAGGATCCTAGGCGTGGCCAACAAGGGGAAAGCAAAAAGTTTCTTCCTCCGTTGGTTTAATACTACGTGTCCGATTTCCACAGTTTTGATTATTAAATAATTCTTGGAAAAATATAAAACTTATAGCGTTAAGTTCCATATTTTTCACGCATCATTTTAACAAAATTTGTTTGTCAAGAAAACAAATTTATTTTATTAGAATGATTTTTTTTCCAAAGAATAGTAACATATTATTTTATTATATATATTTTTTTTAAATATAAATTTTATATATATTTTTTTCATTTCTTTGTACTAGAAAGTTAAAATTTCTAGACCGGTTTCTAGGGCGTTACATTTCTCACCCCCTTAAGAAAAATTTCGTCCTCGAAATTTACCTAACACGCCGTCCGGAAAAAGGTGAGGATAACGACTTCGCATTGACTCCTCTGTTTCCCACGTGGATTCCTCCACCCTGTGATTCCGCCACAAGACCCTCACTAATGGAACACTCTTGCTCCGAAGGTGTCTGACTTCTCGATCAAGGATCTCCACAGGCTCTTCCTCATAAGTGAGATTCTCGTCCAACTCTACCACTCCAGGCTCGAGCACATGAGTTGGATTCGATCTATATCGTCGTAGCATAGAGACATGAAAGACGTCGTGGATCTTGCTAAGTTCAGGAGGGAGTGCCAAACGATACGCAACAGGCCCAACGATTTCAGTTATCTCGAACGGTCCAATAAACCTGGGACTCAGCTTCCCTTTCTTCCTGAACCGAAGAACCTTCCTCCACGGAGATACCTTTAAAAAGACTTTCTCCCCAACTTCATAATTAATCTCTCGCCTCTTCAAACCTGTGTAAGACTTCTGTCGATCAAAAGCGGCCTTCAGTTTCTCTTGGATGAATTTCACCTTCTCTTCTGTTTCTCGCACTAAATCGGGTCCCACCAATTTGTGTTCCCCCAATTCAGTCCAACAGACTGGAGTTCTACATTTTCGCCCGTACAGTGCTTCATACGGAGCCATTTCTATGCTTGCTTGGTAACTATTATTGTAGGCAAACTCCATAAGTGGCAAATACTTCTCCCAATTACCCTCGAAGTCCAGCACACAACCCCTCATCATATCCTCAAGTATCTGGATTACCCTTTCAGATTGTCCATCAGTTTGCGGGTGAAAAGCTATACTGAAACTCAGCTTCGTACCCAAGGCTTTATGCAAACTCTTCCAAAACTCCGAGGTAAATCTAGGGTCTCGATCCGAGATAATGGATATAGGCACACCATGAAGTCGCACTATCTGACTGATATAGCGATCGGCAAAAGTAGCCACCGAAAATTCCATATTCACTGGTATAAAGTGGGCTGATTTCGTTAGTCGATCCACTATCACCCACACCGCGTCGTGCTTCCTTGGTGACATAGGCAAACTGGTAACGAAATCCATAGTGATCCTATCCCACTTCCATTCTGGAATAGTAATTGGTTGTAGCAACCCAGATGGAACTTGATGTTCCGCTTTCACTTGTTGACAAACCAGACAGCGGCTGGTAAATTCGATGATCTCACGCTTCATCGCCGGCCACCAATAACTTCTTCTTAAACATTGGAACATTTTGTTGCTTCTGGGGTGCATTGCGTAACGAGTTTCATGCGCCTCCCGAAGGATACGCTCCCTCATCTCCGTTGTGGGCACCACAAGCCGTCCGCGGAAGAACAAAGCTCCACTCTCACCGAGGGTATACTCAAATTGATCACCTTGCTCCACCCCTTTAACTTTGTCTTTACAGAACTCATCAAGTTTCTGAGCCTCAATAATCTCAGATTCGAGGGTTGGCCGGACATGAAGTTCTGCCAGAGTCCCTTTCCTACTAAGGGCATCAGCTACCACGTTAGCTTTGCCAGGATGATAATCAATGGTACAGTCATAATCTTTGATCAGCTCAATCCACCTCCTCTGCCGTAAGTTAAGCTCTTTCTGCGTGGGAAGATACTTGAGGCTTTTATGATCAGTAAAAATCTCCGTATGCTCCCCGTAGAGGTAGTGTCTCCAAATCTTCAAGCCAAAGACGATTGCAGCCAATTCTAGATCATGTGTAGGATAGTTGAGCTCGTGA